GGCATTGCTGAACAGCAAGACAGACACACAGACAGACACACAGAGGGAGAGACAGACAGAGAGAGAGAGACAGACAGAGAGAGAGAGACAGAGAGAGAGAGAGAGAGAGAGAGAGAGAGAGAGAGAGAGAGAGAGAGAGAGAGAGAGAGAACATAAGAACCATTCATTGACAAGCAGTTTATGACAAGTGCCATGCCTCACCAGTGCCGCTTCCACTGGACACGGGAAACTCACACGGGTAGTACTGCTTGGATGCACTGCAACTGCACCAGATTTTTTTCCGCATTCCGGCCTCTCTTTTTGTGTTTCCCCTCCCCTTGTGAGTGACTGTGCATTGATGCAAATGCAGACATCATCGCAATGTAAAGGGAAAAAAAAAAAAGAAAAAAAAAGTAGCCATGCAGACGTAACGAAGTTCGACACTTAGTTGCAAAACAAGTACTACAGTGAACAGAAAAACGTTTTTCAAATTTTCACCCATTAGACGAGCGACAACGTCAGAGCGGAAAGCTACCCACACCTCACCTCAACAAAGACCTTTTTTTTTTTTTTTTTACTAAAAAAGGACACCAATATATTCTCGTAGGGCTCCAGTCCGGCAAGCATTAACAAACACAAAAGAGTGACTTCTCGGCATTCATCTTCTTGTGATGTTTTCTGCATTCTTACATCTTCTTGTGATGCTCTCATCATCATTACTCTTCCCTATATCTTAAACCACCAAAAAAAACTGTTTCAGCCGCCACGGCTGATATGCCGATGCCATGCAGGATTAAAAAAAAAAAAAAAAAAAAAAAACCATGCCCCTGCCATTCTTCCGTTGGATTCGCAATCTGATTGCGATGGCCACCAGTTGTTCTTCTGTTCGCAGACGTTGGACCATGTTTTTTCTTCATTTTTCTTCTTTTTTTTTTTTCCAGAGGTAGCACTCGTTTAAGGCACTAGAAACTCTTTATATTGGAGTATAAAGAACTTCTAGTAGCATTTGATTACCTGCAAGGTCACCAATATACTACCTGCAAGGTCACCGATGTCGAGCGTTTGATTACCATATGTGCAGAACCGCAGGATTAAAAGAGATCAGGTGGATTACATCCGGAGGACGGTAGGAGAAAACTGACCTGAAGCAGCATTGGATCGACCGTGACTTGAATGTCCAGGACCGCTCGATTAACTTATCTGCAGGAGCGTTTGACTAAAGATCCAATGGGCACCATCATAAGTACTACATAAAATTATAATTTAATTATTATAAAGTTAATAAATGCACGAGGAAGAAATTCATAGAGGCACACACTACGAGCTGGATGTCATCGAACCAGACAGATTCGATAAGTCCTGCATAGTTTGCCGAACCGGCCAGGTTCGGTGAACCAGCAGAATGGAATTGTGGCTGTAGGATGTAAATTACAGTAATAAAAATATTAAAAAAAAAAAAACATAAAAATATAAAAATATAAAAATATAAAAATATAAAAATATAAAAATATAAAAGTATAAAAATATAAAAGTATAAAAATAACTCAACAAACTATAACATCCAAGCCGCGTACCAACGGGCCTAACACAGTTGGTACACCCATGGAACCCCAGTGATGAAACACAGGCTCGATTTCGAAGCCAGATACTATCAGATGAACAGAAAAAATAATTCTGAATTACCTTGGACCGGTCAGTTCAATGTGACATCTCCGGGCCGTCACCCTTATTTTAAAAGAGGGAAAAAAATAAAATAATAATAATAGTAAAAAAAATAAAAAACCCTCCAGGCCTGGTCCTAAGTCCATCCAAGCCCCGTCCTAAGCCCAAGCATGGTTCATTTAAAACACTGCTGAAGAAACCAGACCTGCTCTACTCAATCTTGGGACAGCAGTTCCCTGAAACTGGGCCCAGAGCATTCCCACCACTGGGCCCACACCAGTCCCACCACCCCTGGGCCTAAAGCATTCCCACTAACAACACAGTTATCACCTTTTTCAGACCCGCAATCGACCTGTACAGTTGACACCTGAAGAGCCCCGCTTGGCTTTCCCACCAGGTAGGAGGATGAACAATTAGTAAATTACCTATATCTGGCTAAAAAGTTAAAAACAGAGTTATTATATTTAGATTCCGCTACCGTGAAGTGAGACCCGATTCCGAGGACTCAGACTCCGAACGAAACGGCGGTCAGACCCCAGTCAAGACCCCAGCAGGCGGCGAAAGGGGTCCCCAAGCTGGCGGGGCGGGAGTCGGTCTCTGGAACAAGCAGCTCTGCCCAGTGGACAGTATTCGTGGAGCTCTGGAAGCAAGCCTCTGAACGAATAGATCATCTCTGCGGACAGGAACATGCAGCTCAAAAGCCCGAGGACAGTTTTCCTCAATCAGGTGATCTGTAGGGAACCCCACCATCAACTCTGCGGAGAGGAGGGTAGCGCCTTGTGCGTGGAAAAGCAACGACGAAACCCTCCTGAAGCGACCGACCTCGCTGAGCCGCCCGAGGACAATCTACCTAAACAAACAATCTTGATGAATTAGTAAAAGAACTGATCAACGGATCTTGCCCTCTCATAAGCAACCACCGCGTTTGTCGCTCCAATCGCCAACTTGAAGGCACAGTGCGAAGTATCAATGCACCACACAACAGGCCAACTTACCTTATTCAGGGCTCGCATCACCTCCTCGTGTAGACCTCCCTCCAACCGCAAGGCACCATGCTTCATCAAAGAAATGAATTGGGTGTCGGCGTGTCGCAGTGCACTGACAGCGGTGTCGAGAGCTAGTCCGCAACTACCGTCTTCACCCGAACAGAACACCCGGTCATTATCGCTGCCGAATACCGCTATAATGACCGGGCGTTCTATTCAGGTGAAGACGGTAGCAACGTTCCATCCACTGCAGGAAAAGCCCACACACGGAAAGCAGCCAGTGAGTTGATCTGCGTCAGACATGCAGACCAGCTGACTGCTGTCAGAGAGCCAGTTAGCAACAGGAAAAAAAAAAAAAAAAAAAAAAAAGACATTCAGTCGTCGACAACGGGAAGAAAGGAGAAAATGCAATGATCTACATACATCAGACATCCTGACAAGCTGACAGCTGTCAGAGTTTTGCAGTTACTCGGGTTAGACATTGAAGGGGTGTAGTTCAGACGCCACGATGATGTGGACGATGAGGAGCAATCCTCCAACGAGGATCGTACCCCATGTCAGCGGAGTATTCGTAATGGCCGCAGATATCGGGGTCGACACGGGCTGGAAGCTCCTGACGGTGGAGCCGCCAGATGGCGGGGTTCGCGCCCCTGAATTGGGCATGCATGGACCCGGGAGGACCTTCGACGAATAGCAGAGTCCATCAGCAGCCAAACCGAAATTCCTCGCGCACCCGAGGTGAGACTGGCCCTTACCTCCTGAGCACTTGCACCCTTGGCTGCAGTCCGCGGAGTCGTCGATGTACACCCCATCGGCCTTCCCCATGCAAACGCTGCATTTGTCTCCGGGCGGTGTTTCCGGCGCCGAGGTGCCGTATAGCTGATGAATACCGTTGATGTCATCAGCTTGCAACTCCCTCTTCACGGTCCCGGTCTTGAGGCTGGGGTACATGATGGCATCTCTGTTTGCACTGTGCCCTAGACCCAGCACGTGGCCCAGCTCGTGAACCGCCACGGATTCTAAGTCGAAAGCGCTGCCGGCCACCTTGTCCGGATCTACCACCCAGACCTCGTCATCGTCAAAGTGCAGCCAGCCCGTCTGCGGCGAATAGCCGTGTGCCAGGACCCCTAACTGCCCGTCGAAAGGGCTGTTGTCGCCATGCTCTCCAACCGCGAACCGAATCTCAATGTCCGCATCCCTGCCGTTCGTCACTTCCGTGAATCGGAAGCTGCTCCTCGATTGCCACGACTGGAACGCGCTTCGGATCGCGTTCTTGATTTGCTCGTGCGTTAGCGACGAAGTATTCGACAAGCTCATGAAGAAGTAGGACAGCTCAAACTTGTCCCACCGCGGGGCACCGGGAAAGAATTCAAAGTTGAGGACCTGACCTGACGCCGGAGAAGCGGTCGAGTTCAGAACATTTTCCTGCGGACGAGAACTCTGGCTCAACTGTGACGAAGGGACCCACGACCCATTCCACCACACCATTCCAGTTGAGCAGTTCCAAGTCCCCGGTTCTGTGTCCTGGTGCCATCCCTGGAGAGGTACGACATCCGGGAAACCGCACCGTGGACGAACCATAACATCCAGCGTGTCAGGATCAACACTTCCGCTCGGATTCAGTCCATAGAAAAGCTGAAAGAACTCCAGCGCAGTTTTCGTCGCTTCATCAGACTTGTTGAAGTACCCCGGTCCTGTCACATTTACAGATTTTGAAAGATAGCCAAATTTTTCCAGGTAGCTTTCCGCCGTCGCCAAAATGTTTGTCACGTTGACAGACCCACCAAGGTCAAGCAGCCCGTTGACTGGTGATGCCAGTGACACTAACAACAACTCTACAAAAATGACGATCGACAGCACACCCTCCAGCGGCGAGTGGCTGATTTCATTCCTTCTCAACTTTCCTATCTTTTTTTGCCCAGTCCTGGTCCCGGTCCCGGTCCCAGTCCCAGTCCCAGTCGCTTCACAGTTCCACCTCCCCGTCTCTGACATGCATTGCCTCTGCTGCACTCTCTCACCCTCGCTTCCATCCATCTTGCTATCCCGTCCCTTCGAAACACTCAGACATATATACACTAAAAGGTAAAAGAACGACGGCATGCGATCATGCGAGTGTAATACACACATACACACACATACCTTACTCGATGAAACCAAGGGTCATCATGGTCATCATGGCATACAATAGCTCAAGACCACCTTGAGTAGCCATTTACAGGCACACGGAAAGAGCAAGCGGCTGGACGGCATCCGTTAACAGATGTCAACCCTGCAACTGTACGCGAAAGAGACATCAGCGACATCGTCTATGCGGAGAGACTGTTTCATCTCCGACATCACCCACCCACAGCTCATTCGCACACCCCTAACCACCCAGCAGTCGATCGCGTGCCTTCCCTTCTAACCTTGCTCACCTCTAATGTTGCTCACCCACTGCTCATGCCCACCACACCCCTAACCCACCCCTAACCGCCCACCAGTCGTTTCAGGTGGCCTCCCTTCTCTAGAGAGAGAGAGTCATCAGCTTGCCAAACCACCTTTGCATGCCAAGTTAAAAGGTAATCGATGCTTCGAACATCGGCCAATCAACGGGGTAGTTGCTGAGTCGATGCGATGGCTCCCAAGTCAACGCGAGCTAGCTGGACACATGGCCATCAAAAAGCAAACATAACTCTGCTCCCCATTCGACTCCTCGGCACTTTCAATGATACTTTCCCAGAATCAAAATGTCTCAAATATGGTTCAAACATCAAACTTCAAATAAGATTCTGAAAAGGTATTAGATAAGATGCAAATAAGATTCAGTCCATACTCACACTAGTGCTTTCCTGAATGTACCTGACTGTAGATACGGCCAGAGGGGGAGCGGATGCATCTGACTGCAATGACATCCAGAGCTCAGGCAAAAACGTCCTAGTATGATTCTTCCCTCAGATAAAATTCAGATAAATTTAGATGATGTTCAGATAAGGTTCGGTGAAGATTCAGATAAAATTGAGATAAGGTTCAGATAAGATTCAGGGAACATTCAGAGAAGATTCAGAGAAGATTCAGGGAAGATTCGGTAAGGTGCAGATAAGGTTCCGATAAATACGGGGCTCAACTGTAGCGGTGTTCTGAACAAGCCTGACCCCTCAAGTGAATTTGGGTCCCAGGCAGAACTTGAGCGACCCCCATAACTTTCCAGCCCGGTGCCTTCTCTGCAGCATGCTTGGCATCTAGTGTCTCTCGTGTCCCATATAGATGACTAGGTACATGCAGACACTTACCTTACCACGTAGAAATACTAGATTTGCAGGACAACCTCCTCACTCCGTAAAAGAGTTCCGTTAAATGGATTTCAAACGACTCGTTCTTTGTCATTTTCCTCACAGGAAGGTTGACTATGAAGGGCGCCGACAGAAAGACGAGAAAAATTTGCACCGTGTGCTCTCCCTCCACAGACCGTGCAAACGGGAAGCAACTCAAAGAATTGTTTTCCGTGTTCTTCCTCCCCTAAAACTAGACCTGAAAAACACAACAGCAGCCAACCAGCAACACAAAATTGAGTACCGCTCACCACTCGATGCGAGAACATCAATCGATTCAAGGACACACATTGTCAACGCGCTGGTCCGGCGCAACACCACACACAACAAGAATTATCTACACCTTACATTCGCTTACAAACACACACACACACACACACACACACACACACACACACACA